ATTGAGACCATCGGTGTGTCAACTAAATACTGACTTAAAGGTGCAGTATGTAGCTTTTAGCAAATATTTTTTAACATATTTGTTGAAATTGTCTCTATGCCTTGAAAGTATAATACGAGACAGAGAATCTGTGAAAAATTCATGCTCTTCTGCCTTCTCCCACGCCTATCTAGAAACAACCAATCACAGTCAGGAGGCGGGTCTTTGTGCTGTCAATTCACGGATTATCTGTCTCATATTATATATTACATGGTGACAGTTTTACCAAGTATGTAAAAAACACTTTTATTAAGACTTACATACTGCAGCTTTACAGAGGATTCATATTTATACTAATTTCAGTATTTTGTAGAAGTTAGTTTGTACTTTTTCTCCTCAAAAAAGCTTTATTTTATTCATCGCAATTGATTTGTGAAAGCAACAAGAAGGGTAAAGCATCCAAGTGTGCTGAGTACTTTTCACTGTATAACAACGTCATCGCCACACATATGAAGGCTGCGTCAAATGCGTTTATGATTGCAGTGTTCCTCTGACTGCTGATAGTTTGTGTTGTTGTGTGGGCAGCCGTCCCGACAGGCCGAGCGTACCTCGGCTGCGGTAATGAAAGAGCAGCTTTTCATCACAACGTGCAGCTCAGATGCGGAGCCAAACAATCAACATGCCCTGCAGATCATTTATTTCCACCACTTTCCATTATTTCATGTAGTGTTGCGTAAATCACGGAGGCGGACTGGCTGAGCCACCCAACGCACTTCCCTAACGCAAACCATGCAGAGGACATCGGATACCTACCATGTGACCTCCAGATCTTTATCTCTCAGATTCCACATGAGCAGGTTATTTAATATCCATCAACTGAATCCTAAATCAAGCCGAGGCATCTATAAAGAGCAGAACATGCGTTGGATCCCGGCAAAAACGTGGGCTTTTTGAGGCAATCAATGATCATAAATCTGTTGTAACATATTCTATTTATTCTTGGATAGAAGTTTTATGGCTTCACTGTAAACTTTTAGATGATTCATAGTTATTCTGAGGCTCTGGATCCCAGTAAAGTCAGGATTAATAACAATTGCCTAAGCAACTGGTTGCTGTTTTTGGCATTTAGCAACAAGTCATTTGAAATTTTTATTGCCACATAACTTTTCTGTTTCTCTTGTTTTGTTTAAAAGCAAAATTGGGGGATTTATCTCGGCAGTACATGATTGTCTTCATCATCTCGTTTATTCAAAGCTCTGCTAAAGCGAAAGAGAGGAACAATAGTGGTTGAATCTGTCCAAAATGCATAAGGAAAGTGTAATCTATAGCATTTACTGTGCAGTGAGAACAGAGAGGCATAATAAAACACCTTACAGCGTCGTAAAACAGACACTCAGCTTCTATTCAAACACTTTTTTGTCTGCCTTTTCTCCCCTCTGAGCTCCATTCCCAGAGATGACACTGTCATATTTTGAAACATCTCTTTCTTTCTCTCCCGGCTGGCATCGGTACGCTTTCCTCCGTTTCCCTGTTTCTGTTTTGTTTAGGACCACACAGAGGGATGACATGTTGGAGGCAGATCCAGGCTGGGTGGCCCGGCTGCAGGAAAGATGTGGGTGACAGGATCAGCCTTCAGCAGACTATGGCAGTAATGCGTGCAGACAGTGTAAAACCAGTCCTTTGGAGACCTGGAGAAAGAGCAACGCTTGCAATTCTGAACAAATGCAGTTTGAAAACAGAAGGAGGGGGTTCTGTTTGGGACTCTGGACTCTCATGCACTACTAATGTCTTTAAACATGCTTGGCAATAGAAGCAAATCTGAAGTATCAAATGTGAATTTCCCACCTGCTGTGAAAGGAATGTCGCTTATGGAGAAGGATTGGAAATTAAAATCTGACTTCAGTGGAAATATTTAACAAAAAATGCATCTGGTGAAGTACTCAGCCAGCAGAATTGGATTCTGCATCATTTCTGTGTTTCAGGCAGGTTAGACAGCATGAATCCAGAGAGAAAATGGTCATTTGTTCAGTCACTAGAGACTCGAGACTTGACTTGTTCTTGGGAAAATGCCGTCTGAATATCTCTGTAAACATGTACTAAGAGCAAAGCATGTAAAGCGTTTCCAATTGACAGAGAAGTAAAGCTGTGTAAATATAAGTTTTTGCTGTTTACCCCATTTTACTTTTATATCAGACAATAATATGATCGGAAATGCTTAGATTCTAGCGCAATCACCTCCTTCTCTGTAAATAACCATCCAATGCAAAGGTGATAACAGGTTTTTAACGGTTCGTATAAGAGCATAAACAAAAATTACCAGACATTTTTCAGACCGGATGTTTCTAAGATAACAGAAGTTGACGCTGAAATTGTCTCCTCTCTGATTAGCCGTTAGCTTCAGCGATCCAATCTGGATTTATTCAAAAGGAAGAAGTTTATTATTAACAGGTTTTCACATGTTTACAGCACAACTTTTGAATTATCCCTTTAATATCGAAGAAGTGCTAAATAAAATTATTTCTTTGACTCGTCTCGTTTTAATTTTAAAGTCCAGATCGATAACACACAGATCTGCTCTGTTCTGGGACTCGCTGCTTAGCTCGTTAAAAGCAATGAGCTGCTACTAATCTGTTGCAGCCCTTGAAACAGTTCAAGCTGAAGTTTCCCCTTTTTAAACACTCTGGCTTTGCAGAAACCAGAGATGGCTCTTTTCCTGATAATCAGCTTGTTGCATTTAGCAAGTACTTAACAAAACAAATGGCCCGACTGTGTGTTTTTGTGAGAGTGTGTGTGAGTCAGGGAGGAAGAGGGAACTCCACTGATGCTGGATTTTGTCAAGCCTGGAGAGCAGAGAAAATAGAGCAGAAGTGTCATCACAAACAGGCCCCTGGATCCCGGCGGCCCCCACATTCTTCCTCTGGATGAAGAATGGTGCGACTCACAGTTGTTTATTTTGTTTTCTATCTTGTCTTAGCAACCTCGTTTTAATGAGAGGGAGTAATTCCACATTGAGGTCTGCTCTCTGTTCATTTCCTGCTAACTTCTTCAGAGACAACTCTTTATTTTGTTGTATCGCCACAGCTGCGTAAACGTGGCAAGCTGGGAATCTTGCACAATGAAGTGATGCAGAAACTGATTAAATTAGCTTAGTTTTTTACTCGGTCTAAACGTCTGTTCATTGCGATTGAAAAACAGTTTTGATGTTGTTCTTGACTGCTGAGTTATGAATATCCCCAGAGTAAACAAATTAATATGTTTATCTGACGCAGAGTGCTGGGAAAATAGTTTTTTGATCTGTTTTTGATTTTTTTTTCATACTTAAATGTTTCAGATTATCAAATAACTTAGAGTTAATGCAGCATGTGGGACCTGTTTGGCAACATGAAGTGGGTTAAGCCAGGTATCTGAAACAGCAACACATCATACCTCAGGGTTTCCCTCAGTGTATATTATAAGCCTGGCGGGCCACCAGGCTTTACTTGTGCCCTCATCAGGCTTAGCTTTGTTAATTTATTAAGGTTTTTTAATGATTGCCTTTAAAAAAAACTTTAAAAAAAACTTTATAGTTGGCTTTTAGGTATTAATCTTCTAGTCTTCCAAAAATGCATAACTATCAAATAATATTTTCAAATTTCCTGTCAACTTTAAACATTTTTAACTCAAAAACACAATGGGTGGCTGCATGACCGTAGCGCCCTGAGCACCGGGCTTAGAAAGTTTTTTGGGGGAAACTCTGTATCTATTATGTAAAATTTTTCTTCTTCAGTTTGACCTGTACTGCTTCTAAAAGCACCACCCAGCTGTTTTTTGGCAATAACTTATTGTTTTTTGGTGTCTTGAAAGTGAGCCATTTCAAAAACCTCCTGATTGTTAAGTCACATTCCATGGGTGCTGCACCGTTACCTAGCAACCCCAGACCCGTTACCTAGCAACCCTCGTGGGACTCCAGGACATTTGCTCAGCTGGTTTTTATTGCTGTATGCACTGTACGAGGTCTCCTGGAAAAGATAAGTGTTTTGTTGCTGAATTACCATCTAGAAACCACTTGGTGCAGGAGGCTCTACTAATGCTTTTCAAAGATGTACGGTGGTATAATTGCACATCTGATTGCAGCCATTTTTACGAGCGAGTGTAAACATTGAGTTGGGGGCGTGGCCAGCTGCAGCTTCTTTGGATTTAACGTGAGAAGATGCCCTAAAACAAAATAGCCAGAGCTGATTATCTAAGAATGATTTTTTGTATATAAAAAATGTAATGAACACGTTATGTTTAGCCCATAGACCTATCCTCGCCTGTTCAAGGAAGCACAGTAGGTGTATAATTCATTTTCTTAAGGGGCTTTAGTTGTTTGTTCAAGAGACTGGATACTGAAATCAACAGGTAATTTGTAATTAATTGGGAGTTACTTAAATAGGAAAGTAAAGGAGGTAAGAATTTGCTTATCCTGCTCTGTTTCAAACATGTAATGTTGACATTGTTGCTTTCTTTTCCATTCTTTCTTTCCTTTCTTGTTTGTTTGAATAGATTCTTACTAAATACAACTTAATTTTCTTTGAGTAAAGAGCCATGTTGGTTTAATTGCGTTTTTCTCCCTTAATAGGCAGAACTATCATTTAAAAACTGTTTTTGTTTACTTGAGTTATGCTTGTCTGATAATAAAATGTGATTATCCAACACATTTAAGTGGCAAAAAAGCATAAAGTGAAGCAAATACTTTTTAAAGTCATAGTGAATTATGAGCATTAAAGAGTATAAAAATATTACACCAGAAAGACCTACAGATCAAGTAGTAAGTAGATTTAATAAATCTGCATAATTAATGGTGGCGAACAGATTGAATGTTTCGAGCAGCTCTGAGGGAGACGTTTCAGACAATGCTCTGAGCAGGAACCAGAGAGGTGTGACAAACTACAGCCTGTTACACATTATGGTGTTTGTGGTTTTGTGTGTCAAAGTGGAATAAAGCATGTTAACTTGCTCCATAGAGAGGGGAGGAGATGTAAAGAAACTTTCAAACAAACCTGCTGTCAGAGGACAGATAAAGACACAATCAGCAGTTTGTGTGCGCGTTCCCAAGCACCAGCGGGCCGTCAGGTGGTCCTCGGTCCTCTCCAGTCACCAGCCCACCAACCTCCACGGCGCTATTGTGCAGAAAAGACGCTGCATGACTGATGCAACAAAGGAGGAGACATTGATCTTCTGAGACAAGCTCTGCTCTCTGCATACTGTGCTAAAGGAAATGAGCTGATCCTCCTCAGTGGTCTGCAGCTAAGCCTTGCTTTTGAACATCGTAGCTCTTAATCTACAGCATCAGGACGACTCAGGATTTTGTGCTGCAGCCCTTGTTGGGTCTGGGAAGAAGAAGAAGAAGAAGAAGAAGAAGAAGAAGTAAAAAAAACTCCCAGAAACTTTCAAATTAATTCAGGAAACAGGAATAGAAATCTCAGAGGCTAGATTATATGTTTTGGTAAAGTAATTTACTTGCCACAGACATATAATGTTTCCCAGAGCAAACCCCCACAGAGCGTGCAGCACTGGCAGGTGCTGCATTTCTAGTGTACCCTTGAGCAGGGCACTTCAAATCACTTATCACGGCTTAATTCAATCGCTCCAATAAAACTATCCAGCTGCATAAACACATTACAGGACGTGTGAAATCGAAAACACAGAGCATCTTTAATGCTCTCTGGATAGCGCTGTCCACTACAGGGGGACAATAAATCATTTTACACAGTAATTTAATGATTTAAGAGCTCAGTGTTTGTCACACTGTCATGTGGCACCAAGCCGGGACGAGGTGTCAGGCTCCCATGAGTCCATTAAAGTCCACTTTCCCAAATGGCAGAACGTGAGAGCCCATTTGGAGCGGCTGGTAGAAGCCGTGACGGCATGAATCTGTGGAGAAGGTTTTGGGTTTTACACCTGCGTGTGACGCAGGAGAGAATCGGCAGCGAGTGGGAGAATCGGCCAGCTGTGCTCTCTTGTGGTGACTCTGGGGATAGCCTGGAAAATGGCAGGGAGGATTTAACCAGCTATTTATAGGTCCTTTTACTGCAGTTGCACATTAGCTGCTGAGGGTCTTGCAGAAATAGACTCAAATGAAAAATATTTTGGAGTGCAATAAAAACTCCTCAAAGTTTCCTAAATCGTTTTGTTCCTCAATGCTCTGTAAAAGTACAAACATGGTTCTTGTTCCCTGTTTGTTCATGTGTGAACTAGTCAACTGTATATCTACTGCTGCTAAACTAAATATGTATTTCTAAGATAAAAAAAAGGGAAAAAAAAAAAAAAGATCCTGATTCACCAGGAATTTCAGCAAAAATTATTGTGTACAACTTCTCTGAATAGCCCAGCAAAGCTTGTCCGAATAAAAATTAATAATTAGACTGACATTTTCTTATATTTTAGAGAAAACTATGTCCTTTTTGTCCCCATGTAGAGATTTCTGAAATGACAAACTGACTGTATTAGGAGCATTAAAATCAGAAATAAGAACAAAGTCTTTAAATACGTGGTAATCAATCTGTGTTGAGTGCAGCATTATTTTGCTGGATGCTAACCAGTTGAAATACAAGTGATTTCGAGCTGCAGATGATCCAGTTCAGTCCAAAGTTTCAAAAAACACTGAAATAAACACTGAAACTATTGCAGCTAATGATAAGACGTGAAGCAGCTCCAGGGATTACATCTTGCATAGTGAATAAGAAGTATGTTAATTAAGTTTCACGACTTTACAGCCACAGAAATGTGGTGAATTATGTTTCTAGATGGTAGGATGTAATCAAAACCAGGGCTCCTCTCGGTTTCACTCTCCTGCAGAGATTTTAAAAATATCCATTCTAGCTACAGATTTCCACACAGTTTACAGTGGCAGTGGTTTTCAAACCAAAACCTCTATAAAACAATCAAAGAAGTATTGATCTGACTGCACACTTTTCTTTGCCAAAAATAGAAGAAAAACAAAAACAGCATCAGCAGAAGGAGATCCTCTCTTGTCAGAAATGCAGTTTTTAATCTAAATCTCTGATTTGCTTTAGTTTTCTGGGTGTAAACGTTATGTAAGCGTTTTAGTTAATCAGGACATTAAGTTTCTATTTTTAGTATTGAATCGATGTGCTTTCCTTTCTCTGCTTTTTAATTGTTTTTCCAAACAGACCTTTCTTAATGGTAGGTCTGTTTGGTGTATTTTTAGGGGCACTGGTGTAATGGAAACTTTAAAAAAGAGACCTGGAGGTGTCCAAACTTTTTGTTTGGACACCTCCAAACAAAAAGTTTGGGGGTGCTTGCTTGGCCTGCAAGCACTCGAGTCAGAAGAGCTTGCAGGCCAAGAAAATAAAATGAAAAATCTGGCAAATAAAGTAGTTTGATTTTCTCTTGAAGAAATCTGACGTTAGTCATCGTAGATCCAAAACTTAAAAATCATTTTGCACGTTTGCTAAATTACAAGAAAGAAATCTAGATTTCAATTTCCTTTGGGCTCGACTGAACACTTATTCTCAGGAATAAAACAGGATTAAAGTCACTTTTTATCCTAAATGCTTGCTATATTCAGATGAGCTTAAAGGTATCATGTAAAATTGACTTTTTTAGCTTTACATCATGTTGTGATGTTATTTCCTCATCAGAAACTTATCTGGAGAGTGACTTTGATTCTTTCAAGCATATTTAGCTAATCTTTTAGTCTCCCATGGCAACCATTCAGTTGTACAAAACGCCTGGTTGGACCTAGCCCCGCCTTTGAGGCGCAGCTCCTCCTCCTGCGCTGCAGTTTCCAAGCTTCAGAGTTTCAGCCTCACATAGCAGCCCTCCCAGAATCAGCTCCTCCAGACTAGCCAGCAGCAATTAGCAAGCTGCACATCTGCTCAGCTGTTTCTCAGTGCAACGTGGGTAAAAACATTGACAAAGGGTTAATAGAAGAGCGATGCTGTGATGATTTCCTGAAGGCGGAGTTTCAGAAAGAGCAGGAGTTTATTAAAGATACAGAGGCCCAATTTTAAGGTGTTAAATAAGGAAGTAAAATTTCTTTTAGGTCATATTTTATATCATTTTTATAGGTGAAGTTAACATAGTTTCTCGATTGTGCTACAAAATGACACGATGTGGCTGGAAAACACACAATACTGCCCCTTTAATGATCGGTTTTGAGTGTGAAAACTTCACCTCCAAGTTGTCTGCATTTTCAGGTTTTTCAACTGGTGGTCAGATCTGTAAGATTGGGAGGAGGCTGTTTTTTTTTGGTAGATGTGGGTTCCTTCTTGTATCAGTGCTAGCAGGTATAAATGCTCTCTACAGGGCCGTCTCTCATGGGGGGTCAGCGGCCTCTCGGTGCGGGCCTGCACATCGTCCTCTCCATCACTCACTGGGCCAGGCCAACATGTACAGTGGCTTTCCTTCGTCTCCCAGGACGTCTTCAGCATTTGCTTCATCAGGACTGATTACTGGAGACATTCCTCTCCCATGCAGCCATAAATTCACCTGATGTGAAGCAGACCTGCATCCTCCACTTCCACTGAGGCGTGGAGAATCAGGGGAGAAGCCTCACCGTCAAATTCAGCGACACACTTTGCTGAAACGGCTGAATAAAACTTTGGAATCAGCAATCAGCGATAACCACCCTGAAATTACATCATAAACGCAACAAAAACCCTCCAAACGCTTTCTGAGTCCAAAGTTACTCAGGACGTGTTTGGACGATTTTCTTTTTACACAAAATGTAAAGCTGCTGTAGTTTTAATTAAAGAGAATTTATTTCATCTCAAGGGGGGAAAAAAATCTTTATTTATGACCCCATCATTGACACAAGAATAGGTTCAAGCTTCTCTCCATCTGTTTGCAATTCCAGTGTAATGCTATCATCACCTGTTTCCACGGTCCCAGTCACATCTGGCTTGCATTACAACAGAAAAAAAAAAAATTACATAAGGTGCATTTTTTTCTCTCTCTTTCTCTTCTTCCCTTAACTTTAGTATTTGGCTCAAATTTCAGAAATAGACAAATTAAGCCCCAAGTCTTGAGACGTGAAAAACAAAACAACAATTGGCTTTTAAATTTTAGAAATCTCTGGAGCTTCAGTAGTTTTAAACGAAAGAGTTTAAAGGTTTTGTAAAGTTTGCTGGAGAATAAAACCAGTTTAACCCAATAGCAGAAAGTTCAGCTCTCAAATCTGGCAAAGAAATCTTCACAATTAAGCAAAGTTTTACGCATCTGAACGCCTTTTGAAGGCAAGGCACCAACAGTGACTCAGTCGATGCATTTAGGTTCTGTGATGGCAGAGTAATTTGAATTGTGGACAGGTAAAAGATCTCCAATTTAAATCTAACTCAGAATATGGTACCGTTTAAAAACTTCAGTGGTTTTAGTCACTCGATTTGTAATTCTCAATTAAAAGAAAACTTTGATTTTGTAAATGAGAAAGCATGTATGACTACAATAATAATTTCCATTGCCTTTCTTTAATTTTATTTACTTGTTTTCACATTAAGTTAACTAGTACAACACTAGTTCTGTGGATTTTATTTCAGCTTCTTCTGATTTAAAGTTCAGTGAAAAAGTTTTTGGCGCCTTACAGATTTCTTCTGTTTTCTTGCTTTATTTTATTTCTCTCAAATGTTTCAGATTATTAAACCTTTTTAGAATCCAACAAAGAAAAAAAAGATGCTAATGTTGTGCACGACTTTTGGAAAGCCGAGTTTCATTTCCATCCCAGGACTGTCAGGCTAAACAAAATTACTTCAAGTGTGTTTATCAACAATTCCTCCAGAACAATCTCTAACGCTTTGCAAGACACATTAAGGTCAGAGTTCATGATTCAGCGATAAGAGAGAGAGAGACAGGGTAAAAATGGCATCAACGGGAGAATTGCAAGGCCAAAAATTAGTAAAGTAAGAAAGTAATGAGGCTTCTTGGAAATTGTGCTTCCTGCTACAACCAGTTTAAAACTCACACAAGAAGCATTTAGAGCAACAGAATGTCATACTGACGATGACACCAAGGTTATTATAGTTAACTAAAATTAACCAAACTTAACTGAAATAAATAAAAACTGCAATTAATGCGGAAAACCTACAACTGACTTGAGGTATATTGTGGGTTTGTGAAACTAACTAAAAACTAAACTAAAACTGAACAATTAACTAATAAAAACTAAAAACAAATTAAAGCTATTAGACAAACAAAAAGTTACAACGAAATAAAACCAAAAACCTACTACAACCCTGGTTCACACATACTTCCTCCTACTTATGGAGGTAGTGTGATGGTCTGGGTCGGCTTGTAAGTGATGCTCTCTGCCAGAAAACCCTGAAGAAGAACATCTCGCCATCGGTTCTGTGAGCTTAAACACAATCTGCAGGATAATAACTAGCCCAACATCTGAATGGCTCATAATTAAGCTTCAAAGTGGCCTAATTATTGAGACGCTGACCTTAAGGAGGCTTTTCATGCCCACTCCTTCTGCTAATAGGAGTGTGTTTTTTTTTCACACTGGGTCATGCTGCATTGGGTCGATTTTTCCCTGAATAAACCAAATCATTAGTTGAAAGCCATATTTTGTTTTTACTCTGCATATCTGAATGCAAAGTTGCATTTTAGTTCACAATCTTAATTTGAAAGGGTGACATAATTGCAAAAAACCTTTCTGCAGCTCTGTGGCTTTTATGACCTGAAACATTTGCGGAGTATTTGTTAAGTCCTGAGCTGCAACGTTATACACACTTTTGATGGATGTTGTGCAGGTTTCATGTCTGTGGTTTAGAAGGAAATAACATTTGTGGTTACAGCTCGAAGCATAGTATACTATTAGAAAACTCTTGCCCCAGGAATTATATTTCCCCGCCTCATAACAGTCTGGAATTTGTGTATCCGCTCTGTCTCTCCCATGGACACCAGCTGTGCAGCTGGTGCGCGCTGGAAACTGCAGTTAGCCTGTAGCCATGTGGGATTTTTAACTCGGCTCTCCCATGTGCGTTTAAGGAAGCAGTAATGTCATGCAATCGGGGCCTGTGTTATCATTGTGCAGATCCTGGAGAGTGATGTCAGAGGAAAAGGGAAACTAGCAAAGTCCCAAACCAAGGGAGCAAAGGTTTGAAGCTGGCTGGCAGAGACCCAGATCAGCTTAAAGACTTTTCTTATTCTTTCTTTCCATTTTGCTGACCTCAGAAGTATACACACTCCATCCAAACGGCTCCACTGGACAGGATGTTGCTTCCCTTGGCATATGTGGTTATGAGGAGTGATGTCTTTAATAAATGAAAGGCGTCTGCATTGATAAAACTCGCTTTTGTAAATGGGATCAATGTAAAAAAAAAAAAAGAAGGTCTCAGCGGGAAAACGAATACATCCGCTACATCAATGTGAGCTTTTAATCCTCGGTAATGAATAATCAACACCGCCTAATCAATTAAAGAGAGATCATTAAGTGTCCTTCAATAGATCCTGTTTTATGGCTCCAGTGGAGCGAGGGATCAAAGCTGACTCTTTAATGCACTTGAAAGAATTTACCACAGTGAAATTAGTTAAATGTCACTGCAGAAAACTCTGGTAATTTATCACAGAAAGCCTCCGACAAAGACTTTTAGCCTCTCACATTGTTAAGACAGTGATTCATCCATAATCGTGAATGAAACAGACACACCTGCAGATATATTTAGAAGAGCTTTCATAACACCTACTGTATTAGTTGTGTTACACGCAGTGGAAAAAAGTATTCATATCCTTTGAACTTTGTCGGATTTTATACCAATAAAGATATGAGTATATTAGGAAGTGGAAGGAAATAACAGTTTAAAAGGATTATATAATTTTAAATAAATAATTCTTTTAGAAATAGAAATCTGAAAAGTGTGGAGTGCGGTTTCTCTGATACATCAGAAAAATAGTGTGGTACATCTACAAACTGGCATTTTGCTCAGGCAGGAACATTTATCAAAAAATCAACTAAAAGGCCTATGCTAACTTATAGATGAGTTTCAAAAAGAAAGCTATTATTAAACTTCAGAAAGCCTATTGAAATGTTGTTGCAGTGAATTACCAGGATGCAGCAAACATGTGAAAAAGGTGCTCTAGTCAGATGAAACCTAAATTAATCAAACTCTTTAGCCTATGTTACATTAGAATAACACTACACTTCATCCTGAACACATTATTTCAGTGGTGAAGGCAAATCATGTGCGGATGTTTATCTTCAATAAGGAGAGGGAAGACGGTTCGAGTTAATGCGAAGACAGATGGAGACTTCAGACTGGTAAGAGATTCACCTTCAAGGACAATGACCCTAAACATAGAGCTAGACGTCTTAACAGAATGGTTAATAAACATATTCATGAGCTACGATGGACCAGTCAAAGTCCAGATCTGATCTGTGGCAAAACTCATAAATTAATGTTCACCTTTACTCTCATGCAGTCTAACTGAGCTTTTGTGAATCCTTTACAGCAAATGGCAATTTTACATAATATTGAGTTAGTTTGGCTAAATACAAATATACAGCACACTTTTCACACTTTCTATTTGAAAAAACGTCTTTTCCACGTGTGACGTCACACGTCCGCGAACATTGTAACCGAAAGCCATGTTGGCAGGCAGTTGCTATGACAACAATAAACAAGCCACAAGCTTAGATGTAGTTACTAGCTCTCCCCTCGTTCCTAACTTAAAAACAATAAGTTCATTATACCTATAAACAGATTACAGTTTTTGAGTACTTTATCCGCCTCTGTGTGATAGTAAGATAAATGTCAGTGATATTTACTGTAGCACTGACTGTGGAACTAGCAAAATTAGCTTAGCTAATGTGGCAAACTAATAGACGGACATGTAGCCTACATGTATGTTAATATAGGTACTTACTCAGAAAGTCATTTTTATTCACCTGAAGGGGTCGTTCGTCTTTCACAAAGCCGCTGACACACTGACTGCATCCGTCCGTGGATTTCAGGCCGTGAAGCTCCTCCACGGTGTTCACGACGGAGGTAACTATGTCATAGATCTGAGGCAATTTGTCCACGTCGTCTCACGTATCTTCATTCTCCGTCTCATACGGGTCGATCCCGACAGCAGCGAGTTTGTTCACGTATCTTTTTCTCGCACATTCTTTTTGTTGCCATGGGTCCGCCATGTATTGCGCATGCGCTTGCCTACAAATACTGCGCGGTGTACTTCCGGTTCTGATTTGTCGGACATAAGATTGCAGTAAAATGCACCACTGTGGTTGCTGTTTGAAAATGTGAAAAGGTTTAAGGTATGAATGCTTTTGCAAGGCACTTTTTAATCTCTGTTGGAAAATAATGAAAAAGTCAAGCAATCAATTGTGCCTGGTGAAAAAGTAAGTTTATCATTTGACAACAGAAACAAACTCTTTGGTAAATGTATGAAATAAAAAGATACTTCTTCACTTTCAGCGAGTCACAAATACTAAAACCCTTTTGTTTGCTGAACTTTGTAACTATGGGAAATAAAAACGGGACTGAATGTGTGTCCTTGGAGGTAATTTATGACAGTTAAAAGTTTTTCCTCTTTAGTAGAGGAGAAGCAGCTGTGTTGCATTGGCTGCATGTTTTTGCTCTTACAACCAGGACTGAACTGTTGACAGAACCAGGTGTAGGCTGGCTGCGTTTCTACAACACAAGGTTCTTTTTTATGACAGGCAACTCTGCTTTCGAAACGCAATATCAGCTGGAGAAAGCAGTAATACTTCCTTTCACAGGTGACTTATGTTACTTTGTTTTAGTGTGGATTTAGAACTTGTTTTGGGAATCCATTCCCAAAAAGGCTCTTTGTTTCTGTAATTAATGTTATGATAAAGTGCAGGAATTGCAGATCTTTTCTGTGGCAGCTGCAGAGCCTCAAAACATGATTTAGTGTAAAGCTGTGATTATTCTCAGCTTGTACTTGGTTTGATTTTAGTTGGACCCAAGAGCAGGCAAAATCAGAGGCAGAGGGATGAAGTGAAGAGTTTCAGTGATGAAAATAAAGACTTACAAAACAAGAAGAGGACATAGAACGTAGCTTTGAACAATCCAAACCAGGCAGCTTAAGTACTAAGGCAGAGGTGGAAAATGACAAACAACCAGGTGAGCTAGTTAAGGGATGTGGGGCAGAAGAAGAACAGGAAAACTGAGGGAGGGAGACTAATTAACACAGAGGGAAATTAACTCAAAAAGATCGACAAACTAAAAGGGGAAATAAAATAAATGCATAGAAGAAAGAAGAGAAGAAACTGAACAGAAAAGATTTAACTAATGTAGCACCACTGTAAAGGCAATAATGAGCAGAAAGGACTGAGCTGAACCTAACTGGCAGTAATAAACCCAAAAATGATCAGAAAGTAACCACAACAGCGTGGCAGTGACTCAGCAGGTTAGGAGTTCATCCTGTAACCAGAGTTGCCAGTTCAGACACCTGGTCTGCCCGTCTCGGTCGCTGTGTCCTTGGGCAAAACACATCACCTGCTGGTGTTGGTCAGAGGTGCCGATTGTATGGCAGCCTCGCTTCTGTCAGGGCAGCTGTGGTTATTATGTAGCTTACCAGCATCGGTGTGTGAATGGGTGAATGACTGAGCACTTTGCACAGCGCTTTGGAGTCCTCTGGACTAGACAAAGCACTGTGCAAGTACAGGCCATTTCCCATTTACAAAAGAAAACCAAAACACAAACAGTCGTGGATCATGGCGGCTTGTTCTTGTGCTGCTCTGTCTCCTCAGGCAAAAAGGAAGTAAGATACGTTTTTCAAAGGATCATTTTCCCCACTGGACAACTAAAACCAGACATAAATAAAATCACTCTAGACAAACTATCTTTCTTTAAAGACAGCATCACTTTCATTTCCAAATAGTTTCTGTCTGTCCTTTACTAAAGCCTCTCACAGAGCATTGTGGTACAAGCAGAAAAAATCCAGTATGTTGCAACATTCAAGTAGAGTGGAGAGAGTTCATTGTTTACCTTACTATATTTAAATAGCTGAAAATGAAAGATTTATTTCTGTTCAGCTCACAATTTTGACATGGCTATAAATATATCTTTCTGTGTATTTTTTCCACCCAACAACATAGCTCACAGGACAAGTGTTTGTTAAATGTACGCTGAAGTTTTTGTGTTGTTTTTAATGAAGAACTATTTATTTAGAACAGCAAATAATCCCAGAAAAACAGCAGGAATTTACTGAAACACTCCCAGTTTGAGAAATGTAAGACAGATCTAAAAAACATCTGTTTGGACTTTGAGTTTTACGTTGCTGAGCGTGTGGATAAGTATTAATATTTGTTTAGTTAAGAGCACATTAACTGTGATTACTATGGCGGCTTTTTGCAAAAGAAATGCAGCATAAGGAACAACCTGTGATTTAATTTCATGCAAAAACTCTTAGTTTTAAGGATAAAATATCAAGCTTTTGCTATTTGCATGTGTTTGCATGATTGTCTGTCCTGTGTGTCTCTGTGTTTCGACTGGTGACCAGTCCAGGGTGTTTCTTTTACCAAATAATCACTGGAGACTGCAAGGATAAACATGTATATAAAAAATGAAAAGATAAATTATGTTCTAGTTTGTTTAGGTGCATGAGTAGAAAAAAATATTTGAAACGTATAACTCACTGTTCTGATAGAAAGATGGAATATATGTGAATATTTTTTATATTTTACAAATTTTTTTAAATGGTGATGGTAAAATCTGAAGGCTGTCTTTCATTTTGACACATTACAGTTCCAACATCTGACCGCTTTTTAACTTTATGCACAAAGTATATAAAAGAAAACCATCTGAGTATAATTTCTGACCTGCACACTGAACTCAATGCATCTTGCTATCCATGAGCTGACAGCACGATGAAGAGTTATGGAGGTTTTGAAGCCCGTCTGATGCAGCTGAACCACTGCTGCAGGATCTCCTCCTGCTGAAGTGAGGCCCTGTCAGAGTAGGAAATCTTCTACTTCAGAGTCTTGCCATCTTCAACCGTAGAAATGTTCCCTGATTTCAAAACTTTGACTGAGGTGGTGCTTGTAATTCCGGGCAGCGTGGCAGCAGAGCGTGGATTCAACCTCCAGGACGGCATCACAACCTCAATGGTATGTTCACACTACACGTGTCAAAAACGCTTCGACGCATGTGCACATTGAATGCAGACGCTCAACATTTTGCTCTACACCTAGTGTTTTGCGCGTCTAGTTTACATTCAAAGTCTAAGTGGAGGCGCGTAGAGGGCGCGTCAGACACGCCAACTCTAGCTGTTATTTTCCATTGGACGTTCTTGATGCTCAAAACGCTCCAAAACGTTTTGAACATCAAGGGCTCCAACGGCCCTCAACGCGCATCCACATAACCTCTGAACGTAAACCAGACTCTCCTGACGCCCAAAACGCGTTTGGTGTGAACGAATCATGAGATATTTGATCATGTCATAAGCGGCATTTACGGACCAGGAAGAAGTTGTATGATTACGGATTCAGGTGAATCATTCATAATTTAAGTGTAATCATTTAGATTAATTGGTTATATGTAGATTTGAGCTACAATGAGCAGTTTTTGTAACTGTGAAAAAAGTTGCATGTACTCATCTGCTTGATACGTCATGGAACAATGTGAATTTTCCGTTCTGTTAATTAACCCAAATGGAAATTTAATGAATCTAATTAAGTCATTGTTATAATTTAAAAAATTATGGGTAAAAATAGATTATGACTAGTTTTTAGTTGTTTTTTACCACTTCCTTTAAAATGACAGACAGCAAAAAGCCTAGAAGAAAACATTGAGATCATTTATCAAAATGTGTTAATTTTATGTTTGAAAATTAAACTGGCTTGAGGTTTTACTACATCAACGTCTTTTCCAAACTGTTTACGATGGTTTAACGTATAAAATGTATTTACCTAAATACCTAAAACTATTTTTCAAAATCAGTCGAACCTCCACAGCTAAAAAGAAACTTCCATCAAGTCAGTCAGGCAGGTGTCCTTTCTTCGCACATTTAAATATCATCAAGCCTGACTGTAGACACATCAAGCTGGTATTTTATGATGACATTCATAGCTGCGGTGTCCCTGCCTCATTTAAGTCCTGACAGCACAAATGAATAAATTCAATAGTTCCAGATTAAATTTGGCACACCATGGATAACCCATAGATCACCCAGCAATTCTTTTCTTTAAAAAGTTATTTCTCACAGGTTGAATCAGAGAAATCTGTGCAGCAAAATGTAACCTCTGAAGCTAATGAGCAGACTGAGTGATTAGCATACGAATGGCTCCCATAGCTCATCCTTCTGAGCATAGGGTAATGGCAGGTGAATGATACTTATCAAGCTTCATAAGTGCTCCTTCCAATAAATACATAGTCCAGGTCATTTGTACTGGGATTCAAGAGTTGATGGATATAGGATTACCACTTAACCTTGGAGTAATTCCAAGACGTTGCTTAAATCATCTAATACATTATCTATCCCATAACGGCTTGACCAGTCTTTAAGGATATCACTTCATAAGGCAAAATATGTTTTATGAGATAGATTTAACAAAAGGTGTTAGTGACTTATGAATCATATAGATGCAGTCATGACAGCGCACCAACAAATTTGTATTTGTAAGAGACTGTTCCTGAATCTGGCTTTGATAGATTCCCTGCATGATTGCTTTTATTTTTATACTTCCCTCATACTATGCTTTGTTGACATGAAGGCATTCCACAATGAATGTCTTGCATCACTGCAGTGAGCATAATATTTACTGCTGAGAAGTCTCTGAAACAGGTCTGATCTTCATCAGGTTTAAACCTGACTTCTATCTAAGATCATGTGGTCCTTGCTGAAGCCTGGCTCTCGTTTTGAATCAAACACTTGACCCTGACCCTGTCTGCCACCATTAAATCTGAAGATATTCACTCCTCACATTTCTCTGGAGGGAGAAAGTTGGTGGTTCTTATGTAAATGTTTGCAGCACATTCTTACTTTAACTCCCCACTGAAATTAGATGCCCTGTTTGTATCTTAAAAATGTTTTATGCTGTCTGATATTTCTCTCAAACTGCAGGTGAAGGTCAAGCAAACATAAGCAGTTTCAAAAAATCTAAAAATTCTGCTTTAAAAGAAAGAACGCTCCTGATTACAGGATAAA